TCCCTAATGGCTAATGATGTCAAACATCTTCTTGTGTACTTATTTGCCATCTGTATATCCTCTTTGATGAAGGATCTGTTCAGCTCTCTTGTCCATCTTGTGATCATGTTGTTTCCTTACTGTTGAGTTTTGAGAGGTTTTTTTAAAAAAATACATTCTGGACACAAACTTTTCTCAGATGTGCAGCACATGGTTTGAGGGCTATTCTGTGGAAAAGGTTTCAGTGTCATTTCCAGGGGAACATGACATGGACTACATAAACGCTGCAGGAAATCTACTTTTGGTTTTTTTTTGTTTTTTTTTTTTAAAGATTTTATTTATTTATTTGAGAGAGAGAGAATGAGAGACAGAGAGCATGAGAGGGAGGAGGGTCAGAGGGAGAAGCAGACTCCCCGCCGAGCAGGGAGCCCGATGCGGGACTCGATCCCGGGACTCCAGGATCATGACCTGAGCCGAAGGCAGTCGCTTAACCAACTGAGCCACCCAGGCGCCCAGGAAATCTACTTTTGTTAAAAGTTATTTTCTTTAAGTGTGATAAAAATATATATAACATAAGTGTCACCATTGCAACCATTTTTAAGTGTACAGCTCAGTGGCATTAAGTACATTCACACCAGGGTGCCTGGGTGGCTCAGTTGTTAAGCATCTGCCTTCAGCTCAGGTCATGATCTCAGGGTCCTGGGATTGGGTCCCGCATCGGGCTCCTTGCTCAGCAGGGAGCCTGCTTCTCCCTCTGCCTGCTGCTCCCCCTGCTCGTGTGCGCGCTCTCTCTCTCTCTCACTCTCTCTCTGACAAATAAATAAATAAATATAATCTTTAAAGGAAAAAAACAGTACATTCACACTTTTGTGCAGTCACCACCATCCATCTCCAGAACTTTCATTATCTTTTCAAACTGAAACTCCACGGCCATTAAACACTAACTCCCCATCCCCCTCACCATCCCCTGGTAACCACCACTCAACTTTCTGTTTCTATGAGTTTGACTATTTTAGGTACCTCATATAAGTGGAATCATGCAGTATTTGTTCTTTGTGACTGGCTTATTTCACTGAGCATCATGTCCTCAGGATTCATCCACATTATAGCATGAGTCAGAATGCCCTTCTTTTTTAAGGCTGAGTAATATGTATGTAATATTGTATATATACAACACATTTTGTTCATCATTTGGCTGTTGTGAATAATGCTGCCATGAAAAAATCTGCTTTTAATTCCTTAACGGCAGGACACTGAGTGTTAACTGGGTTTGGGATAGAACCTAAAAGCCAAGGTCAGGGGACACCTGGGTGGCTCAGTCGGTTAAGCATCTACCTTCGGCTCAGGTCATGATCCTGGGGTCCTGGGATCGAGCCCCGCATTGGGCTCCCTGTTCAGTGGGGAATCTGCTTCTCCCTCTGCCTGTTGCTCACCCTGCTTGTGTGCTCTCTCTTTCTCTCCCTCTCTCTCTCTGGCAAATAAATAAATAAATAAATAAAATCTCTTTAAAAATTAAAAAAAAAGTCAAGCAGACTGCTTTGATGGCAAGTAACAGACACTAAAACTGGCTTAAACAAGAAAGGGAAGGTTTTGGCTTGTGGCCGTGAAATGTCCAGCATGCTGGATCTGAGGGTTCAAATGGTATCACAGGACTCAGGCCCTTTCTCTCCCTCTTGGCTGCTTGCTTCTGTGTGACAGATGCTTTCCACATAGTTCTCCTCCCAGTTAGCCATCTCGGTGGGGAGAGGGGACTCTTCCCTGACCATGCCATCAGAAGTCCCAGAATTGAGTCTCGTTGGCCTGGCTTGGGTCACGTGCCTGTCCCTGAACCATTGTTGTGGCCAGGGACAGGCAACAGTCTGGTTGGCCAGGCCGGGGACGCACGCCCCCTCCCTATCACAAAGACTAGGGAAGGGAGAGGGGTGACGTTCCAAAGGAAATTAGTTGCTGTTACCAAGACAAGAAAGGGAATACCAGATAAGCAGGCATATTGATCAACTGCTATGCGGGAAAAACTAGCTTTGCCCGCCTCCTGTGTGTCAGGCATTGGGCAAGGCCCCACATGCATTAGTGATTGCTGTGAATCCTCAAGGGAAATTACTCACCCTGTTTAAGAGAGAAGGACACCATGGCCAGAGAGATTGGTGCCTGTGAGTCTCCCCCAGTAGCAGGGCTGGCGTCAGAACCCAGCGGGTGTGCCCTTTCACCCACCCCTAAACCCTGGGCAAGGCCAAAGCCCTGCATTGGGACAATTCTCATTAAAAAGTTAGATCTGTGCCTAAAAATGCAGGCATCAAATTGTGTTCAGAGGTTGATTCCAATAAACCAATTAGGACTGCTGCAGAGTCCTTGTACCATATGTACAGAGCTTTAAAAACTATAAACAAGAGATCGAGAATGAATTGTGTAAGCAGAATTTTTTTTTTCCATTTATGGGAATGCTTTTTTTGGTTGCTTTTAGGAAAACAATGACTTTGATGATCAGTCTTTTTTTTTTTTTTTTAAAGATTTTATTTATTTATTTGAGAGAGAGAGAATGAGAGACAGAGAGCATGAGAGGGAGGAGGGTCAGAGGGAGAAGCAGACTCCCTGCCGAGCAGGGAGCCCGATGTAGGACTCGATCCCGGGACTCCAGGATCATGACCTGAGCCGAAGGCAGTCGCTTAACCAACTGAGCCACCCAGGCGCCCAGTCTTTTTTTTTTTTTCTTGGTTTTTTAATCCACATTAGCATTGTTCTTGACAAATAGTCATCCAAACTTCGCTTCAGCATGCCGCGGTGACAGGACTGTTGGTATGGTCTTCTCTGGGCCTCAATTTACCCATCTGGAAGTTGGGGCCATTGGATTGGCTGAGTCCCTTTCAGTGATGGAAAGGCCTCCTTCGTGGTGTCCCTGCTCCTCGTCACACCATTTTTCGCAGTGGCCAGAAGGATATATAGGAAACATATTTAAACACATACATTAAATCGTGTCACACAACCCCACCCCTTGAAACTCTTTAATAGAACAAAATCCCATCTCCTCCCTGTGGCCTGCAAGCCCCTCATGATGCCACCGCTGCCTGCCTCCCCGCCCCTGCCTCCCTCCTCCCCAGGCTCTGCTTGCCATGACAGTCTTCCTGTACCTCAGACATGTCCAGCCTTTCCTGGCCTCCGTATCCTTACTCGTCTTCTCTCTGCCCAGAATACTCTGTTCTCAGCTCTTCTCCTGGCCAGCTCCTCGTCCTTCAGGTCTCCGTTCAGTGCTTGCTTCCTCAGATAGGCCTTCCCTTCCAAGGACACCCAGCTGCCCCACCTCCCTGCCTCGTGCACTCACAGCAGGCTCCGGGGGCCTTCCTAAGCATTGAATGCAACTTAAAATGACATACCTACTTGCTCGTCGGCTGGTCTGTTGTCCATCTTCCCACTCTCCAAGGGCAAGGTCTAGGTGTCTCTTGTTCCTCATTGTGTCCCAGCACCCAGCAGAGTGCCTGGCACTCAAGAGGTACTTACTAAATGTTGTACAGTGAATGAATGAATGACAAATGGGAGCCATTCAAAATCTCTGTGCTGGAGTCTTGATGAGGCAGAATTGAAGTTCTTTTAAATAAAACTGACAACTACTCAGGTGGCTTTAGAGACAGAGTTCTTTTTTGTCAGAAAATTGCCTTTCCAAGGGGATTTCTAAAGGATGCCTTGACCTGTTCTTTGGCTCCGTGAAGGCCCCAGGACCGGGGAGCACAAACAAGGGAGGGGGGTGGGCCGGGATGCCCAAATCCCTGACATTGAATTAATCTCTTTTTTATGAGCAGGGATGGGGCAGGCATTGGAGAATCAGAGTGCAGGGTACTAAAAGTTCTTGACCTTTTCCTTTCTGCCAGGCAAAGAGCTCGGAGCTTGGCCTCTAATAATCATCACAGCTCTGTGTGAGATGGACTTGCTGACCCCACTTTACAGTTACGGAAGCTGTGGCTCTGAGGGTTAGGAAATTGTGTGAGTCTAGAGCTTCTTGACTCTAGAGCTCATGTTTCTTCCTCTCTGTCATGCTTCTTTGAAATAAAATGCGTGTTGGATTTGGAGAGGTCATGCCTGGCGGACTTAGCTTGGCACTCAAGGGCACTTCCCATCTTGTCCTGATTTATCTTTCCATTATTCATCTCTTCTCACCTGGAGACCCTTCTTCTGCAAGTCCCTGGCGTTCACACTGGTCTCTGGCCCCAGCCCCCACATAGTTGCTCCAACTTGTCGCATTTTGAATGAAAGTTTCCTAGTAACATTTCCAAGTCCTTCAAAGTACACCATGATGTCTCCAGGCTTCAGAGAGCTCTCTCCTACCTCCCATCCTGCATTAGTCAGGACTAGATTACATGTGTCAGAAACCCAACTTAAACTGGCTTCAAAAATAACTTGAGAAGGCAGGTTTGGCCCAAGATGTATTGGCTCAGAAAACTTGACAGAACAGGAGTAGATTGAGCTTCAAGCAGAGCTGGATCTCAGGGTCAGACTGTGGTATAGGAATCTACTGATGCTGGCTTCATACTCAGGCAGGCTCCTTCCAAGCGGTGAGGAGATGGCCCCCAGCAGCTCCAGGTCCCCATACTAATAGCCAACCAACTTCAAAGAAAACAGAGCTTGACTTTCTCAAAGGTTGGAGCAAAAGCCCCAGAGCTGATTCTTTTTAAGAATGACTGGAAAAATAGCCAGCCCCGGGGCTCTGTGGATTGAGTGGAAAGCAAGAAATCCCTACAGTGCTGAAAAGAACACCATCTCCTGAGATGAGCTGGGTGCCAATGCTTTCTCATTCTTGATTTCATTTAATCCTTTGTATAGCTCTCAGAGGTGGGGGTTATACCCATATTATTGTGGAGGAAGCTGAGGCCCAGAGAGAGCAGGTGACTTGTCCAAAGCCATACTGCTGGTCGGCGGCAGAGCTGAGATTCAAACCCAGGTCTTTCTGACTCAACCCTGTGCTTTGCTCCAGAGTCCTGGAGAAGGCAGGGCTCCCTTGGTGTTAATGCCCATCTCCTCTGTCCCTCTTATAGGTCTATATCATCCGGGTTACATGGTCCAGCGGCTCCACGGAGGCCATTTACCGGCGCTACAGCAAGTTCTTTGACCTCCAGGTAAGGATTTGGAGTGTCCAGTGAGCTGCGGGGTAGGAAGAAGTTTAATCGGACTAACTTTCCATGTTGATGTCAGAGCCTAGACCCTCACCCATGGCGGACACATAGTGTTCTTTTTTATTTCCTAGATTTAAAAATGATGTCCATGTGCTTACTTTAGCAGCACAGGTACTGAAATCAGAATGATACAGAAATTAAGACGGTCCCCGTGCAAGAATGACACACAAATCTGTGGAGCACACGTTTGACTATCCCAGGAGGAAAAAAACCTTCTCGGCTTCAGGCACAGCTTGATCCAGGGTTTTCACAGTACCACCTCACCCAGATCCTTCCTCTCATCCTGCATTCCTGCTTTCATGGTGTTGGCTTTATCCTCAGATCCCACAGGGTTACAAAATGCTCTGGGCTCATACTCAGCAGGAAAGAGTGAAAGGTCATTTCCCAGAAGTCCCAGTGAACACAGTGTCCTCTGTATACCATCCCATGTCTTGACCTCACATGTTCTCTCGGAAGCTTGGGTGATATTAACCACAGGCAGCCTTGGTCGTATGGACCTAATTCATTCCTAAAAATGTTAAATAAAGAGTTTTCAGAATCTGTATTTCATTATTTTAAAGGGGGAGGCGAGATAATAATGTGCTCCTAACCAGTTTCCCCAATATCACTAAAACAATCTCAAACGCCTACATAACAAGCTGCCAAGAGTCATTGCGTAATGTAAACCAACTGAGACACCAGTTACCTAATTATTAAAATGCACTGAACTCGTTAGTGGCATTTTGTGTTCATAAAATGCAACTAAATCAAACAGTACCATATGTATATTTCCTTCTGGTCTACAGCAAACATGTAAATACACAAAGAGACTATTATGTTAAAGATGCTAAGGTACTATCTAAAACAGACTTGGCAGGAGCAGCATGGGGGCCAGGAAGGGGCTGAACCCTGGGGGAAAGGCAAGGAAGATGATGCCCAACACCTTTGAACGCCATGAGCAGGAGGAATAGTCCTGTCTGAGAATGACCGAGATCCATACCCTCTTACCCAGATGCAGGGGTGATCTATGCGGATCTATTACAGCAGGTCTTCAGTTCAGACATTGAATGTTGGGTAAACACTTTTGCAAGTTGCTCAACGGACTTTTCATGCACAGCGGGTCTGTGTAGGGAGGACTACCTGTATTTTGCTTCCAGAAGCCTCTTGCCTGCCTGGTACCTCCAAAAGGATAACAGAGGGCAGAGAACAATGAAACAATAGAACTGCTACAATCAGGATTGCTATCCTGGGGATTATGGACATCCACAGAGCCAAAACCCCTGGAGCAGCTTAGGCAGGAAGAGAGGAAGGAGTAGGGTCGATTTACGGGAAGAGGCAGGTGTGCCCCACGGACCCCAGAGCAGGAAATGCAGCTGGCCTCACAGGGCCCCAGAGCCAGCAACTGAACGGCCCTCAGAGGCCTAGCAGCTCCCCAGCCATCTCTCGCTGTGGCCACAGGGTCTCCCATCGAGCCTACTCTGTTTTCCTGATGGCCTCTTCGGACCAGCTTCCTCCCCGGACCATTGGCCCACATCCCCAGATAGCACTGCAGTCCCCCAGTTGAAATGTCCTTCCGTGTTGCCCACACTCTGGTGTTTCTAGGTGCTGGGTCCAGTCTCCAGGAGAGAAAGAATCTGATGGTCCCAGGGGTGCTGGATCCACCTCCGAGACTGTCGGCTGTGGCCAGAGGGGTCTGGGCATTTGGTACAGCATCATTTGGAGGAGGAGAGGTTGGATGAGGACGGGGTGGAGAGAAACTCTGGAAATGTTAATAGCTGCTGTTCTGCAGCCAATGAGGCAGCATACCCAGGGCTTTAGACCTGGACTTTTGGGATTAGACAGATGTTTCCAATCTCAGCTCTGCCTTTCACATCTCAGCTTGGTGTCACCTCTGTGTGTTTCTGAGACTCAGTCTCCCCATCTGCATGTTAAGAGTGAAAACACTTTCCTCGTGCATTCATTGTGACCGTTACTCAAGATGTGCCTCGCTCAGTAAGCACATTAACTGTCATTAGCTGTCCCTCTGTTCAGATGAGACTTGCCCGAGGTGACATCATTTGGGAATGCTTGAGCCAGAGTATGATCACGAGTCTCCCTGGCCCAAAGCCTGTCCTCCCTGACTCTCCTGTTCTGACTCAACTTTCTTATTTCTTCCAGAACTTAAAAATGAGGTTTTCTCCCCCACTCGGCATAATTGGCAATAATTGGGGGTTTGCTATAACATAAACAGCTGCTTCAGACGCCCCTCCCTGATAGTCTAAAGGCAGTGCTTCAGCCAGCTTTAAAGAGTCCCAGATGGGTGGCTGGAGTGGGAACATCACGGAATTCCAGAGGGTCCCGCTGTCCTAGAAGTGACCTGCTCCCCAACCCCCACACCCCAGAGCAGGGAACTGGAAGAGAGGAGGGCAGGACCCCACCAGCCAAAGTCAGCTGTTCTCAAGGACCAGGCAAGGAGGCCAGCCCGCATGTGGCTGTGACCCCCTGAAGTAAGATGATTTCGTGATCCCACCCTCCCCTTCCTCTTGTCTGCCGAGTAACCTTGGCTTTTTCCAAAAGTAACTTGGCACAAGAGAGTATGGGGAGGGCCAGGCATTCGTGGAAGAACAGCTAGGCCAGCGTGGTGTAATGGAAAATGCAGAGAACTCAGTCAGGAGACTTGGGGCCCAGCAGCCTGTTCTGTGTGGCCTTCGGCACGCCCCTTAACCCGTGTGTTGCCTCTCTGTCCTCATCGGTAACGTGTGGTAATGACAGCAGAACGAGCTGGTATTTCTGGAGCACTGACTGCTAAGCATCTAGATGATACTCATGGAATCCTCGTGTTAAGCTTATTCAATTATATAGATGGAGAATCTTGGGCTCAGAGAGGTTAAGTCATTTGCACAAGGTCACACAGCTAGTGAACATCAGAACTTGGATTTGAAACTGGGCGGGTGACACCAGAAGCCGCACTCTTAGCCACTTTGCTTCTAGTGTCCCTCTCTCTAGTGGCTACTTCACAAGGTTTATATGGACTTAAAAGTGGTGATGTGTCTTTAAAAAAAAAAAAGGGGGGGCGCCTGGGTGGCTCAGTTGGTTGGGCGACTGCCTTCGGCTCGGGTCATGATCCTGGAGTCCCTGGATCAAGTCCCACATCGGGCTCCCTGCTCGGCAGGCAGTCTGCTTCTCCCTCTGACCCTCCCCCCTCTCATGCTTTCTCTCTCTCATTCTCTCTCTCAAATAAATAAATAAAATCTTTAAAAAAAAAAAAAAA